TAATTGTATTCTGGTTTTCGACACATTTTTTTTATATAATATTTCTTAATTAAATTTTCTGGTATTAAATAAAAGAATATTTAAAATAAAAAAAAATCACGAAAAAACGTTTTGATTTAATAACCAAAAGATATTGATGCCTCACGCCTGTGGAGTGAATGTGCCAAAATATTCTAGAAAATATATGCCAAGCCATTGTATCAGGCTCTCTAAGCAGTTCAAACCGGTTTTGTAAGCACTGAAGCGAGTTTCGACAGAGCTTCTACTACGTTCTCTACTATGTCTCTTGATCTTTTTCCAATAAATGCATTTTTAAGAGGAGCTTTTTTTCATGTCAGACAAAATCGGCGGCTTATCTTCCCAGTCGAGGTGCGACTAAAATTGGAAAAACCTATTTCCTATTATTAGCAAGGTTTGTCTGGTCAAAACTAGAACCAATTGCGTCCTTTAAACGCTGCTTATCACTCGGCTAAAACGCCCGCAATAACTTTTTGATATTCCAAATTTGTCTGCAACTTCTTCTGTACGAGTGTTCCTTAAAGAAACTTACATACAAGCTAGCCAGTTTCACCGTACTCTTTATTTTGTCCAACTGATTTATGCATGATAAGTATAAAACCGAGCCCCCCAAGAGAGAATGGAGTCATGCTTCATATATCCTTCGAATTTGTCACTGCTATAATCACCATTTCATATAATTTTTATAAAAGTTTCTCAGGGTTTCAAAGCACTACAGCTGTGAAGAATAGTCTGTCTGGTCAGACAATTTGCCCATATAGCTGACATTTTAAAAACCTCACAGTGAAATTTGAGAGATTTCGTGTTGTTTTCTTACATTACTTCCTCACTTATCCAAACGTATACTCAGACTCCCTGAAATGTCTAGACCAATCCATCTGCGCCTTCAATATGTGTTTAATTCTCTATTTGCGACCCCATATATCATAAAACAATTTTTCAATGCTTTCATGAGTTTTGATGAGAGAGTCAATAACGCTACCCTGATGTTGGTGTAAGTGATTTCTTTCTTCTGGTTCTGGAAAAGATTTTTCGAATTCCAAACATTAACACGAAGAAGATGCTTACAGGATTGAGTAGTTGTAATGAGAAAAAGTTGTTGTTATCACGAAGCAGTGGCAAGAATTCTTCGATCCCGCACTATCTCTATTCCAAAGAATTCTAGCGGAAGTGTTCAAAAAAGACTCAAACTTAAAACAAGCTTTGGGCGAATTTAATCTCTCTTTCTGATAAATAGTAAGTACATCTGAGGGCAACAAAGACGAGAACTCAAGTCAGGCAGCTGATAATATGAACAGAATTTATAGTTCTGACACTGTAACCGTCTGACCCTCGAGTCTGGCTGTCATGCGAGCACTACTTCGATACGTTGACAGTTTGGAACCACTTGAAAAATGCTGTATATACAAAGAAGGGGGATGAGTTACAACGAAAAAACCTCATGAACCAAATTTCCATCTGTGAATCGTTGCTGAATCGAAACAAACTCGACCCAGTGAGCCGGTATAAGCGGTCTCTAAGCGTGGATTGAAGGCCAGAAGAATTTGATTGTGTGTTTGGTGGGATTGGCAAGGAATTATCAACTATGAGCTTAACACTCAATTTCGACCTGTATTGCCAACAATTGTCCCCTCTCACGAGCGCTCGGCTTTGGTAATCGTGAGTAGAACTGTGTTGTGTCGATAATGATTCGCCAGAAGCTCTGAGAACTTGGCTAGAACATACATCCAGCTTATTCCTTAGTCTGGAAATCTGTGTTACTGCGTATGGTGAATGATTTGGCTGAAGAATTTGGACTCGAGAAACTGGTAAAACAAGCCAAGGGTTTTTCTTACTATATTCCCTTCAAACTGTGCATATTCGACACAATCGGATAATTTTAACTATGATAAATAATAATGGATGGTTAAGGCAGTATCCATTGGTTCGATCCCTGCCATAAGAAGTCTAATGAGCAGATGTGGTGATCCCGGAAACAGCTGTCACTTCTACCATTTTTCTTTCTTGTATAACAAAATATTCAATTCATACAAGCAAACCAGGTCCGTAGTTTACTTAATACTTATATGAATAATGGATTACTTTTAGATTATTCCATAAAGAACTCTTCTCACTCGAGTCATGTACTTGAGTAGCTTTCGCTTAGCATGAAAAGCTTTTCCGGATTATTTTAGAAGAATTTCAATCGCAAAACTTATTTTGCAGCTTGATTTGTTGAATGGAGTTAACTTTTACTCCATTTCCGCCATCTCTTTTGCCACATAAACTTATTGCGATCTCGCACCAAGGAAGTAACAAATAGTCTGAAGCATTTTCAAGTCTCATTTGGGATCTGATTTTGGTGAAGTAAATGACAAAAAACTACTACTTAATAACATGTTAAACATTCACTCACATGTGTGTATATGTATGTGTGTATGTACTAAATTGTTGAAAATTCAACATCAACTTTCCGGCATCCGCTAAACTGTCACTCAAGTGTCTCTCTTTCTGTTTTTGCCCACGCATGAACTTTAAGCGCCTCAAGTGCTCGTATGCATAACTAAATATATTTGAACATGCATATGTATGTATACATATATGACTGTATGTAAAGTTACAGTTTGTAAGTGTGTAGCGAGTTAAGCCATTACATGCCGACTTCAAGCTTAACCTCCGGCTCAACGAAGAATGGTCGGTCACACTTTTGATTTATTTATCTTTTCATCTCTTAGACATTACAACATTGTTGTTGTTTTGAGATTTGTAAACGTGAATGAGTTCCGCAAGTTATTTTTGTTTGTTTGTTTATTTTCAGTTAATTCTCATTGTTTTGACATTTTAAGGCAAATGTGTTAAGTGAAATTAAGTGATAAAAGTAGCAAGTAATAGCAAATGAAAGCTTAATGTTGGACTGCTGTTGTGGCATGGCATAAAGGAAAAACTTGAATACTTGGAAAATGGTTTTAAATACCACAAAGTTCATAGACAGACCAGAAAAATTTGGTTTCAAGGTGGAGTAAGAAATAAATAAAATAAAATTAAAATAATAAATAAAATAAATATAATTGACATTTCTGCTTTCCCTCCACCGAAAAATCTAAGAATAATCATACAACCGTCGAAAAGAAAGAGCAAGAATTTTTAGCTTCACCTTATTCTGATTAAGCTCACTAGAGAGAACTAAGCCACCAGAAGATCTCGAAAACTAGTGTGTTGCTACGAATGACTCCGAGCTCAGTAATTCGCTCAAAAACCACAGGTTTATAAACTTTTTAAGTTGTAGACTCACGAGTATTCCATAAGGATTTGACAACACTTCCCAGTATTTTAAGGGATGGTCTTTGGAACAAACTCTGCTAAGAAAGGAGCAATAATAACGAGTTATCTAAAGATTTCAGCACCAGTGAGTGCATGATGAGCACTCGAAATTAAGCGGTGGTCCTTCAACATTTAATATAATTTTTCCAAATAGAAGGCTTTAGAGAAGAGGATGGTATTATTACCAGAGAGACTTTTTGGACATTTCCAGCACAGGACGTGCTTAAACTCTATAGAGCCTAGACTTTATGCTTTTTTTATATTGCGTAATTGTATTAAAAGCAGCTGGTACGATGAGGACCGCTGCCACGCAGTGGAGAGAAAAAAGACTGCCTACCTCGCAACCTTGCGATCGACCGCAACACGTGCGGGATGGAATAGATATCGAAAGCTAAAAAGGGAAGCAAGACGCTTTTGCCGTCAAAAACAAGAAAGAGGTCGAGATGCGTGAATACCCTTGTACCATTACCCTTGTTGGCCAACTTTACAAAAAAATACGACGTCTCCGTCAACACACTCATTGGACTTTATCAGTGTGGCTTCAGACCTGGTAAGTCAACCATCGATCGATACACATCACCCCTGCACCGTCGTTAAAGCAGCCTTCGGCTGTACGAAAGAGCTTGCTCCTCCTCTATACCCGCAAAACTTATGCGGCTATGTGAACTGAGGATAAGCAACTCTAAAAGCTCCGTCAGGATAGGGAAGGATCTCTCTGAGCCGCTCGATACCAAACGAGGTTTCAGACAGGGTGATTCCTTATCGTGTGATTTTTTAACTTATTGCTGGAGAAAATAATACGAGCTGCAGAGCTGGATAGACAAGGTACACGCTAAAGATATTGACATTATTGATCTCAACAACCGCATCGAGAGTTCTGCTTTCTCCAGACTGGATAAGAAACCGAAGGATTTGGGTCTGGTAGTGAACGAAGACAAAAAGAAATATGTCCTGTCATCACACAAACAGTGTGATTCTACAAGTTGGGAACGGCGAATACCGCATACGAGGGAACGAAAGTGGCTGTAAGTAAGGAAGCAGTCAATCAACTACTCCAATGTGCAATTTGTGTTACAAATATTTATGAGTTAACTGGGACTAACTGTCTAAGGGCGAAGAGTAGAGAGATCAGAATACGATCGTTGTAAGTAAGGCCTTGTTAAGCTCTCCAAACTCAGCGCTTTTGTCCTTCGAATGCTGGAATGCTGGTTTGCTTTTATTATTGGACTCCTGCAACAATTAAGTTCAGGTTGAAGTTTCCAAATCAGTATAGAGGTTTCTTCGAAGAGAGTGGTTGCCATTGAGGAAGGTATAGTGCGCCATTTCGATTAAGGCCATATGGAACGCTCTTAAGGCTCACTCGCCCGTGGACTTGTGGACGATACTAAAACATTTTGGGTCAATTAAGGATCTGTTTTATTGTTCATGAGGACTGACTTTCAACCGTCTGATCCATATGGTCACTGATCGTGAAACCTGATACTGTAGAGTCATCTTTTTCTTCAGCTGTGGAATTTTTTATGTGTTGTGGATTTGTTTATAATCAATATATAATAACTGCCAGTAAATTATGAAGAACACACACAAAAATATATGCGAATACACAATTAATTTTAGTTTGGAGAAGTTCAAAGCAGGTAAAAGAGGGAATGAGATAATAATTTAAATAGAATTCAGCTTACTTGCAACAACGCAATCACCAACTGTATGGGTCCGCAACGCACCACCACCGAACCAATTGTGGTGGCACGCATTCCTCCACTACTTGCGCTGGCGCCACCACCACCACCACCACCATCATCACTGCACATACTCAAATCGGATGTGTGCGCTGCCGTGGCATTTGTTGCACTACTACCGCCCAACGTCGCCATGGCATTTGTACTCGAAGCGCCGGTCAGCAAGCCAAGACCACTAATGCCACCCAAACCGCCGGTACCGCCGCTGGCGCTTGGCGTCGGCGAGGCCGATGATGAGAGTGTAGGATAATTGTAATTGTCATGTTGTTGCCGATGTGCTGAGGGTGTATTCGAGATATTCGAGCCGGAGTAGAGTGATGACATCGATGAGTCTAATGTGCGATGACGTTCCATGTTTTCTTTTATCTTTTTTCGTTCTTCTTCCACCGCGTTTTTTTCGTATTGTGCTTTGTGTGCTTTTATTCTTCTACGTCCTTCTACTGTATGTTGGTAATTCTAGTTTTTTTTTATTTTCTTCTTCTTCTTATTGCGGTTTTAATTTTTTATTTCGACTTTTCACGATTTCGTTACTTTTGTGTTGCTTGATGTTCTTTTGTTGTTTTATGTCGTTATCCTTTATTGTTGTAGTTGCATAATTTTTCATTATTTTTTTTTTTTTGTAAAACTGTATTCAATTGTGTATTATATTCAAAAAAAAAACTAGTTCCATATTAAAAAAAAAAAATATTTAAAATAAAAATTTTAAGTTTTAATTTTTTTTCTCGTGCGGTTGATATAAATAATAACCAGTTCTATGGATTACTGCTTCTAATTTGTCGTTGAATGAGATTTGCTTGATTTTTAAAGAAAAATTCATAAAATTTTTTAATTAATATAACTTTTATGTTAGTGTAAATTGTGTTTTGTTTTAAAACAAGTTTCAGTTTCAAAATTTTTTTTTTAATTTTTATGTTATATATTTATTTTTCAGCAGCTTTAATTATAAAATAATAATAAATAAAATATTAATTTTTTATAAATTGTTTTATTGATTTTATAATTTTTTAAAATGTCAAAATATATTTAATTTTTTATATTATTTCTTTATTATATGGTATTGATAACGGTTTTGTATCAACATTTTAATATTAATTTTATTTCTTTGTTCTTGTTCGCCGACACAAAATAGCATGGTATAAAATTATCGAAAAATTTTTCTCTAAATATTTTTGTGAATTCAAATAATATTTTAAAAAAATTAATAATTTCTAATTTTTTGGGCAGTTTTAAATAATGCAGGTATATATATATATATATATATATATATATATAACTGGCGCTTTGTAACCGCTGAAGCGAACTTCGGGCGAGCTCCTCATCCAAATTGTTGTTTTTCGTCTTGATGTTTTTCCAAGAAATGGAGTACTACTGCATTTATATTTAGTCTTAATAATTTAATTAATTTTTTTTTATCGGAATATTTTTAAGAATTTCGTTTAATTTTAATTATTTTTCAAGTAGTTATTTTGTTAGTTTAGTATTTTTTATTGCTCGCACAATTTTTTTATATTTTATTTTTATTCATTTAGATTATACTTAACTCACTTGAGGTTGTTATTTCCAATTTTTTTTTTTTTTTTTTTTTTTTTTTTTGGGAATATGCTTTATTAGTCTCACACTTATCATACAAAGCTCTTGAATTTTATATATAAATATATATTTTTTGTTTTCATTAAAAAATATTTTTTTATTTTTGGTTCATAAGCTGATAATTAGAAAATTTAAAAAAAAGATATTTATTATTTTTTACAACTTTAAATTATTTTTATTTATTAATTTATTCTAATTTACTTGGATTTTATTTATCACTCGTTGTTTTAAATTCCTTCATTATTTGTTTTTATTATTTGTATTTTATTTTCTTATTTGCTAAATAATTTATGTATTTCTTAAATTAATATTTTCTTGCGCAAATTTTTAATTTTTTATTTAATAAATATATTTATTTTGTATGCCAATTCAATTATTCATTTCTTCTTTTTTATTTTTACTTGAGTTCCTTTGTTTTTTAAATATAAATCCTTTTACAAATGTTAAAAGTTATATATTAAATATTTATTTTTTATGCCAATTCAATTTTGTTTCTTAATAATGTTTACTTGTGTATATTATTAAAATTTTTCCAATTTCATATTTATATTTTTTTTTTACTTGTTTAAGGTAGATGCGAGGCAACCAAAAGCTTGAAGCACCAGATTAAATTTTTTCACATTTTATTTATTTATAATATATTTTTGTTAATAATTTCTATATGCTCTTTTGTTTTTGAATTATATTTTCCCTCACAAATGTCAAAAATTACATATAAAATATTAATTTTTTACGCCAATTTATTTTTTATATTTTCTTATGGCCTCTGAATTAAGTCTTTTCTTACATCTTTTAGTTTAGTATAATTTTTTTTATTTATTGTTTTTAAAATATTATATATTTTTTAATATATTTAAGAATATTTTATATTTTATATTATATTATATTAATTTTATTTTTTTATTTTAATTTCTTTTTACTAAATAGTTTATATTGTTTTATATTTGGGAAAAATATTTATTAAAAACCTTTAACTTTTTGTGCAACTTTTCATAAACTCTTTTTTGTTGTTGTTCATTTTTATTTATTTTTATTTCAGTACACATTTTATATCTATTTTTTTATTATTATTTTTGTATTTCACATTTCATATATTTCTTTCAATTTTTTTTTAATTATTGTTAACTTAGTATTTGTATATTTTTTGGTGCACAATTTATTTATAGTGACGAATCTGTCCTTGATAAATGTTTACGTAATAGTTATTGTTGTTTTAAACTTTTATTGATATTTTTTATATTTTTGTAGTGTTATTTATTTTGAATTATGTATTTTACATGACAAAATTCATGTTTCCTCTTTGTTCAAAATTTCTTTTATATATTATAATATGCATTTACTTTACTTTCCTTACTTTTTTCACAAATTCTTTATAACTTCTGTTATTTTTACTTACATTTTTTTGTAAAAATTAAAATGATTTTTTTTTTTGTTTTGTTACTTATTTCTTTATTATATTTATTTGTTTAAATATTTAACGTATTTATTCTTATATAGATAGAATTTTTTGTTATACATATTATATATATTTTGAAAATTAATTTTATATTATCTTATTTTCTTACATTTTATATATTTTGCTACTTCAGTGGTTTTTCTGTAAATTTTTGCTTGCCAAATTTTTTCCCCTTTCACCAAATTATTAATAAAAATTATTTTTTATAAATTTTATTCAGATTATGTCAAAACATTTGATTTTATTTATATATTTATGGATATTTTTATGTATTCTTTATTGCCTTTTCTTATTATTTATTTTTATTTTCTAAAACTAATTATTTGTTTAATTATTTTTTTATATATTTTTTAAAATTTGTTTATTTTTTTTACTTTAAATATTTGTTAAATTCGCGTACGCCAAACAAAGGCTTTTTTCACAAATGAAAATCGTTAAAAAATTCGTTTCAAAATATATTTATTAAATAATATCGTCGTTATCGTTGTCTTCCTCCGTTCTATTGTTTCTTTTTTAATTTCGAAAATTTTCGCACTACATTTCAAATGTTCGCGCTTTCGCCGCTCTCACACGTCTGTCTGCTATTCAGCAATAGCTGGTGAGCTGCGAGCAGCCGGCGATACCATCGCTAGCTACTCTACTAGCTGCTTATCGTCGCCTCCAAGCTCACACACCGAAACAAGAGCAACATACAAAAAAAAAAAAAACAAATACAAAAAAACAAATACAAAAAAAAAACAGACAAAAAAATGCAAAGAATATAAAAAATTCAGAAAGAAAATAAAAATTCAAATAAAATAAACTCAAAATAAATGCTATTAACACAAAAACGTTCGCATGACTTCATGCTTTTGAGGAAAAAATGTCTAAAAAAAAATGTGTTTAACGAAAATACGCTCACTTTTCCGCTCACATTCTAATACACACGATTTTGTACCTTCAGCACGCTCAACGCTCTACAATTGTTAGTGTTTCACCCAATAAACACCAAAAAATTCAAATCAAGCGTTTGATTTGGTAGCTACCAAAATATATTTTAAGAAACGCCACTTATACCATTTTCCAACAATTTTCCATCTTTTGAAAATTTTTTGCCGATCTCAAGATTTTTCCCTAATAATTTTTTTAGTTTTAATATTGTTCAGTTCTCAATCTAAGATATTTTTTTGTGACGGTAGAAAAAATTACAAACACCAAATGGCGCTTCCAAAACCTTGCTATAAAATTAAACTTCGAAAATTGTTTTAAATTTTTTCAACTACATTTCCAAAATCTTTCTTCAATCATCCCTAAATACTACAACATTTCTTTTAGAAACTGTTGGCTCTCGAAAAAATAACCTAAATTTTTCAGGAATAATTTTTCAAATTTTAGAAATTTTTATAGTTCTCTAGTTGATATCTGAGTTTTTCTCACCGAATATGTAGAAATTTATAGTTCTGAAACTAACAGCCGACGTTCAGAATATATTTCTCTAATAAATCTCCAAACTTTCGAATTTTTAGTTCTTAGGTTAGAACTAAGGATTTTTCTGCTGACAGTGGAAAAATGTATTGGTAGTTCCCAAATTGAATTCCAGCATAATTCTAGTCTAGTTCTGATATCTGTTTCATATACAAAAAATTTTCCTCAGTATTTTTAAAATCTCACATGATTTTTTAATAATTATCAAACTTACAAAAATTTATATGGTTTTTAAGTTGATATCTGAGCTTTTTTTAACTTTGGAGAGATTTATGGTCCTCAAGTTGCCATTCAACATATGAAGTTCCGTATGATTCTGTTAATCTTGCAAAATTTTGGAAAATATTTAATGTAAAGCTCACGTTTGAGACTTATTTCTGGAACAAATTTAAAATCTTGCTTAAATTTTGAGACTTTGATTTTACCCCATTTTCTTTACCCAATGAATATCCAACCGATCTCTCCACTTCTCAAATTAAAATCTTAAAACTGTATTTTAACAGCAAATGAAATCATAATTCTCAAGTTGAGAACGAATAACGTTCAACTCAGTGAATTTCTAAATAGAGCAAACTGTTGAATTATTCCTCAATGGCTCTCTGACCTATGAAAGTCTTATTTCAGTTAGAGAGATAGTTGAGAGGTCGTTGAGTTGAAAATTATATTTCTCTCAACTTGAGAATCATACTTATTGCCCCATTTAAATGAAAAACAAAATGGGAGTTTTTTAGAATTCCCAACTTATTTCCCAGTTTGCCTCAATGCTCGCTGCTAACTGGGTTTTCAATAAACTGAGTTTACGTCTTCCCAGCAACCCATAGAAAAATACACACATTTTAAATTTCATATCGTATGTATGTATACATGTGTACGTCATGATCGCATCTGGCCAAAGATACGGACTGTTTGCGCTCATCTCATTGCTACACACACACACACACACACACACACTCGCAGCACGCCAAAGTTCTAATATGAAATTCGCCCAGTGCAGTCAGTCCATCGAGATTCGCTCATTCACTGCACACTGCGCAGCGCACCCTGTCCAAACAGCCGAATAGCCCGCCCATAGCTTCTCAAGAGCAGCAGCTGCTGTTCGCTGTCGGCATTATATC